AGGTGTACGTGGCTGGTGCCTTAGCCGGTTGAGCCACAGGCGCCGAGCCTAGATAGAAGTCTTAATTGTATTACTCTATAATTGCCCTTTTCCAAAATCTCAAGGGATTTCACGTTATCTGTAGAACAAAGCCCAAACTCTTCAGATCAGTAGTTAAGACAGTCTATAGTTTGGTTCAACCTGTTAATGAATCTTGCCTTATCCTCTTTCCCCATCCCTTACCCCATATAATCCTCTACTTCAGCCAGTCTGCTTGTTGTCCATTGCTTATTCTGATCTATTTTCTGTGTTCCTAGGGTGACTCATGTCCTTGAACATCAATCTGCCATTGAGATCCACCTCTCCATCGTCAATAGGTGCTTGGTTGTTCTCCCAAATGTGGAAAACTGAAACGCAGTTTCAATGTTCATCTGTTAGGGGCTACTTTTATGTTTCTTATTTACATTTCCACAGATCTCTACCTTTAATTTCGTCTTATGTAGAAATCCTCCAATGATCATTATCCCTGAGATAATCGATCTTAATTTGTCATCTGAATTACTAAAGCACTTACTGCCTTAATTTATTTGGTATAGTCACTACTAAACTGATTCATTTTGATAAGATTTTTTCCTAAATTAGATGTTGCATTTTTTGAAGTCAGGGATAATTTTGTAGTTTTTTTGGTTTTTTTCTCTCCTCCTTCCCCTCAAAGATCAGTAATGCCCATATTTGAGCATGAGGACTTCTTTTTAATGTAAACATTTTTCAAATTCCTACCACCTAAAAAAATAATAGTATTAACATTTTGAGGATTTCATAAATCCAGAAAACATGATGACCAACAGCTACGACAATTTTAGTCATGCTTTTTAATTCACTTGAATTGTTCTAATGCAACAGTTTTCTCTGTGCGTTTCCTTATATAATAACAATAAAAAAATTCTTCCCCCAAATCAGGCAGATCTTGGTTTAAACCTAGGCTCTACCACTTGGAACTGCTACAACTTTGATTTATTTAACCTTTCATTTGTAAAGTAAGTCACAGGTAGTACCAGCCTCTTCAGAGTGCTTGGGAAGATTTAGAAAATCACAGTACCTGAAGTGCTTAAAGTTATGGCTGGTATAAAATAAAGGTACAGTTTTAAAAATCCTTTTAAAGTAAGCACTATTATTTCTCCCTCTTCATTTCACAGATGGGGCAATTGAGGCTCAGAAAGGTTAAGTCATTTGTTCAAGATCTTAAAGTGGTGGAATTAGGATAGGGCATCCTGGACTGCAAACAACCCCTGACCAGTGGGCTACCACAGCTCTTTTTCTTACAATACATAATTTCTTTACTTCACATCCCATTTCCCCATCCTTGACTAAAACATGAACTCTTCAAGAGCAGTGACTAAGTTTTTGTTACCTCAGTGCTTAGTGATAGACACAGAATGTAAAAAAATAAAAAAGAAAAGAAAAATTTTACAAGCAAATGGTAGTGTCAAGGTTCAACTGCACTGCTCCCTAAACCTAGAAACAGTAGCAAACTGCAGTGGGCTGAAAGAGCTTTATTTATCTAAATTGTGTACTGAGATGCCGTTATATTAATTGTTTTCGTGAACAATTCCTGTTGGTAGTTGAGAACAATTTGTTCTGGTCTTTGGTGGCACCCAGAAGCCCATTTTTTATTCCTCCCCAACCTTATTTATTTTGCTTTGTCCCTCTCCCCTCAAGCTCATCCTAAAATTACCAACTGTCTAAAAATAGAATTGCGTGCAACTAAAATTGACAGATGCTTTAACTTTTCAGTTGGGCACACTGAAGACACTAATTGTCACTTTACCAAATTATTTGTTTCAACGGGAGGGGCAGCTCAATCTTAATAGACCCGCTAACATTCGAGTATAAATAAAAGGGGAAATCGGAGGAAATTAAATTCTGATTGAGATCATTTGGTTCCTCTAAGAAAAAAGGCATTAATCAAAAAGGGCGTTAAAACTACTGACAGTTTTACGATTCTCCACTGACTTAGCTATATGACGTTTGGTAGATTAATTTCCGTGGATTATTCGTACGAGTAAAATTTATGTACAATTAGAGGGCTGGACTAGATTATAAGGCCTCTTTTGTTTCCTATCTTCGTAACCACGATGGGGGTGGACAGGGAATCGAAGAGCAACCCCAGCCTTCGCGGCTCCTTCCGGCACATTCCCAAGCCAACACCCCCACCGGCAGCCAGACCGCCCCCCTCCCTTCCCGGCGGCCGATTGGGAGGTCACCCACTTCCGCACAGGCCTCAAGTCTCTGCTTCCGTGCTCAGCGCCAACAGCGCGCAGCATGCTGGGATCTGTAGTCCTCCACCGCACAGGGTGATGGGCGCCCGGCGAGCGTTTAATAACCCGAGATCGAGCTAAGCATTCTGGGATATGTAGTCTCCGGCCGTGCGTTTGTATAATCCGGTTCCGGCAGTGACACCACAGACTTCGGTGGGTCACATGACTCGAGCCTAGAGCGTCGATCGCACTGCGGTTCGCGCCCGGCGAGTTCTCGCCCCCGCGCGGCCGTTGCCGCGGAGACGGCGCATGTCTCCCGGCGCGTTGCCCCCTCTGCAGTCCCCCCGCCCCTCTTCTCCCACCACAATGAGATCCTAAGATGGCGCTGGCTGCGGCGGTTGGCGCCGAGTAACTGAGGTGGGAAAAGCGGCCATTGGGCCCTACGCAGCCGGGGATCGTGTGGACCTTTCTGCTGCGGTCTCAAGGGGAGGCCGGCTGCTGGGGGCGGGTCGTGGGGGCTGACGGCCACTCCGCCCTTGCCAGGAGAGGCTGCTTCGTTTACAGGTAATGCCTGCGCGTCCCCAGCCCTTGGCAACCGCGGGCGGCGCGCCGCAGGGGCGGGAGTGTAACGTCTCTGGACACTGGCCTCGGGCCCAGGCGGCCTCTGTAGGCTCCTGGTCTTCCCGCTGCTGCTTCGCGTACCCCGGGCGGATAGCCCGGCCCTCCCGCGGGGCCGAGCGACGCGATCTCCTCGGTGAGCCTCTGGGGACGCGTCGGCCACTGCAGAGTTCCCTGCTTGGCCCCCCGTCTCTCTCTGACCCCGGGGAGGAGACTGGCCTGCGTCCCGGGAGCCCCGGGAATGTCCCTGGCGGGTGGAGGCGGCGAAGTGGGGGGCTCTAGTTGGGGTGCCTGGGGCACAGGATCGACTTCTCAAAGAGAGAGGCCCGGGTGGCCACAGTCCCCATGGCTGCGCTCCTTCCAGTTCCACTTTGTATGGCTCTGATATCCAGAATTTTGGATGGACAGGGGCGGGTGAGGAGCGAGGTGACTCTGGAGAGTTTAACTTAGGCAATGAGCTGCAGGGTTTCTGCCTCCTCCTTTCTTGGAGCCAAAGGGCCGGGGGAGGCGTTCCTGACTTCGGTGGTTGATACTTGGAGAAGGGAATGTTCATTTAACAGCCCTCCCCCACTGCTCGCACTGTCCTCTTCTCCATGCCTCACTGCAGCTTTAGTTAGATCGGGCCTCGGATGGGGAAAACCGAGTGCCAGGGGGGATTCGGGTAGCGTACCCTGCTTTGCAGAGACTCGTGTTTGGGGATTAGGTTTTAGGCCCCGCTAGGAGCCCGCCTGGTCGTGCGAACGTGCCATCCCGTGGCCCCACTCACTGGAAACTTGTCTGATTCCCCCCCCGCGTTAGAGTTCTGTGTCTTGTGCCTTGAGGGTGACGGATCGAGTTCGGGCTCTGGAAGAAGCAGGCTGTCAGGGCGCCCCTACCACCCCCGCCCCACAGCCGCTCTCCAGACTCCGCCTTCTGGCGTTCTCTGGTTACGGAGTGGGTGTTGTGGGGCTTCAGATGCACCTGCTCCTTTCTTTCCCTACCACCTTCCCGGTGAGGGCCAGACACCCTTACAATATTGAGGTTTTGAACTGAAAGTAAACCTTGTGTTCATGTAGTGACACGCTTTTATTATGAAGCCCAGCAGCTAGCTTTTAAATAAGCAAACTTTTTGTTTTAATCATCAGGCACATAAATAGTTTGAGTGATGGAAGTTATTGACTTGATAATCAAAAAAGTAAACTTTGGCATGGATTTTTAAGTTATTATTAAGGTTAATCGTTTTCATTATACTATTCCAAAGTAGATATAAAGATAACACTGGTAGAATTTTAGAAATTTGGGGGTTTTAAAGATATATGTATATCACGTTTTCTGAGAAGATTGAGGTAATTTGGGTTTAAAATGTTGATAAAATGTATTTCTCCTCTTTGATTTTTCTAAACATGTTTTAGACAGGGGTGTACAACCTTTTGTCTCTGTGGCACATAAGAACAGTCATCTGGACCACAAATTAAATACACTAACACTAATGAAAGCTGATTAGCAAAAAAAAAAAAAAGTCCATGCATACTTTTCATGATTATCTGACATCACAGATAAGCCAAAAAAGTCCTCACAAAATCAGTTTGTGGGCCGCAGGGTTGGACACCCCTATTTTAGACCATAAAGTATTTGTTATTCTATACTTCATAGTGCAAGTAAGGACTTGACTAAAGTGATTTTTTTTAAAAATCCTAAGCAGGCAACAGCTTTGAAGTGTGGAGCAGGAGGGGAGCCCTTTCTAAGCTGCAAAAACTAGTTTCTAAACAGGTAACTAAGCATCATTATTTATATATGTATGTGTGTACATATATATAGTTGTCCTTTGCATTATAGTTGAAGAAGATTTTGAAGGAAACTGCTATCAAAGTAACGTGCGTGACTGAGGGTCCTCTCCATTCAATGAACAAACATTCTGGGTTTGCTGCCCTGTTTGCCCTGCTTTTTGGCATCCACTTTGGTCTGCCTTCGCACATTTATTAGAAAAGAACCATGCCATTCCTAATTATTAAATACTAGAGTGGATTATGTAGTATTTCTTGAAATTTGACTTCTCAGAATTTCTTTAGCCCATTGGAGTTTGAATTTGTCATGTAACAACTGTTTGAATAGGCTCTTTTCCATTTAACCTAAAGTTATCTGCAACGTTTGTATTAATTGGTTGTTTATTTTTTATTCATGAATTCCTCTACTTTAACTGAAGTTCTTTTAGTTGTCTAAAATTGCTTTTTTTTTGGAGACAGAGTCTCACTAGAGTGCCATGGTGTCATCCTAGCTCACAGCAACCTCAGACTTTTAAAAAACTAGAAAGTGGGCTATGGGCGGCACCTGTGGCTCAAAGGCATAGGGCGCTGGCCCTATATGCTGGAGGTGGCAGATTCAAACCCAGCCCTGGCCAAAAAAAACAAACCAAAACTAGAAAGTGGGCTGGAGCAATCCCCTTGCCCCAGCCTCCTAAGTAGATGGGACTATAGGCTCCTAACCACAATGCTTGGCTAGTTTTTCTGTTTTTAGAGATGGAGTCTCCCTCTTGTCCAGGCTGGTCTTGAACTCCTGGGTTCAGACTATACACAACTCAGCCTCTGAGTGTGCTAGGATTACAGAACTGAATGGACGTGAGCCACCATGCCTGGCCTGTCTAAAATTACTTTAAACAACATTAGTTTCAGTGCACAGTGCATTGTCATATGCTGGTTGCATAAAGGTATTCTCCCAGCTACTTGAGAGGCTGAGCCCAGGAGTTTGAGGTTGCAGTAGAGCTGTGATAACACTACTGCACTCCAGCCTGTGCAACAGTGTGAGACTCTGCTAAAGAAAGGAAGAAAGAAAGGGAGAGAGAGAGAAATAAATAAACGTGGCTCGGTGCCTGTAGCTCAGCAGTTAGGGTGCCAGCCACATACACCGGAGCTGGAGGGTTTGAAGCTGGCCTGGGCCTGCTAAAGATCAATGACAACTGCAACCAAAAAAATAGCCGGGCGTTGTGGTGGGCGTCTGTAGTCCCAGCTATGTGGGAGGCTGGGGCAAGAGAATTGCTTAAGCCCAAGAGTTTGAGGTTTGCTGTGAGTTGTGATGCCATGGCACTGTACCCAGAGTGACATAGTGAGACTCTGTCTCAAAAAAAAAAATGTGAGAATTAGAATAAATTTTATTAACAACATTTAGAAACTGTTCTTTTAAAAAATGAACCTCAGGGCTCGGCACCTATAGCTCAACCGGCTAAGGCGCCAGCCACGTACACCTAAGGTGGCGGGTTCGAATCCCCAGCCCGGACCCGCCAAACAACAATGACGGCTGCAACCAAAAAATAGCCAGGCGTTGTGGCGGGCGCCTGTGGTCCCAGCTACTTGGGAGGCGGAGGCAGGAGACTCGCTTGAGCCCAGGAGTTGGAGGTTGCTGTGAGCTGTAATGCCATGGCACTCTACCCAGGGGGACAGCTTGAGGCTCTGTCTCAAAAAAAAAAAAAAAATGAACCTCAGAATTTGAATTTAATTCTGTTAAAATTTTAAGAAAGTCTGTTTTCAAAGTTTGTTTCATATGTGTCTTGTTTTCTATAAAAGCAGACAGATTTTTAGCTCCCCTATGAAGACCTGAAATGAGACTATCATTAGAAAATAAAAATTGATAGTGATTTATATGTTAATTGTAATCCTCAGTGTTTTGGTGTTTTTTTTTTTTTAAATGGAACACTGTAACAAAATAAGGCGAGAAATATGAAACTCAGTCACATGTGAGTGTGCATATTAGAGCTTTTAACTGTAGAGTGATAGCTATAAAATAGACCTTAGTAAAATGAAAAAATTGTAGAATCAGTTACAGTTTTCTCCACTTACGGAGACTGACCTCTCTGACCTGTCCTCTTTCTCTAGAATGTATTTTCACTTTATGTAACTTTTTTCTTTAGTTTTATTCTTTTATGTGATAAACTGTAAAATTTCAAAAAATGAAAAATAACTAGAAAGGATGTGGGATAATTATATTAGGGAATTCAGTAAGAACTCAGCAAGAGATACATAGCAATATACTCATTTTTACGAATTTAATTGAGTGCCTGCAATGTGCTGTGTAATAACTATAACATACTAGAGATATGGCAGTGAGCGAAATAAAGTACCTTACCTCATGGAGTAAACTTAGATTTTGAAAGTGTGTGTGTGTGTAGTATAGTCCGTTTATATAGAAGACAGAGTTTGTGCCATTTTATGACTATTTCCACTGTTTTACAATTTGAGAGTAGAAGCAGAGAACAGAGAAAGTAGGTGATAGGGTTTATCCAGAATTAAGTTGATGAGTGGGGAATAGGTGGGAAAGTGGAAAATTACTTACTTGGGTTTGGGTTTGAGTAAGGAAGCAAGGCATTAAGAGATTCAAGGAGAAAGAACTGATCAAGGGACTGGTAGTATGTGATAGAGTCAAGAGCAGGTTCAGCAGGAATGAGGACACGGGAGAAGTAGAATGTAAGAACTTATGATCAAAAAGAGGAATTTCAGAAGTTCAAGATCGTGAACAAATTACCAGTTCAGAGTGAAAAGACAGTATTGCAATAGAGAAGATGAGGTGGACGTTGAGATTAAGGCCATAGTCTTAGAGAAATCATTGCAAACATTCAGGTCACAAAAGCAGGGACTAAAGGGGAGACTGAAACCATGTGCTAGTTGTCATCAAGAAGAATGGAAGACTGTCTTGGGTAGATACCTACAGAGATGGTTGAGTGATTTAAGCCTGTTTGAGAAACAATACCTAACATTTAAAGATTTTGGGAATTTTTTTTTTTATTGATTTCTTCATTGCTTTTATGTCTTTACCTTGTATTTTTATTTCAAAGGTAAACTTGAGGGCATTTCATGGTAGTTAATACAGTGATAGTCTAATTAGACATATGTACTACATATGTATGATGCTTCTCTTTATGTATAATAAGAATCCTATAACAGGATTTTCTTCACAAAGATTAGTCACTGAAAGTAGCTTAAAATTGCCATAATAAACTTTCATTTTATATTAAAAGTAAGATACAGAAGCCCAATAAGTGCTCAGCGTCCGTAGCTCAGTGAGTACAGCACCAGCCACATACACCAAAGCTGGCGAGTTTGAGCCTGGCCTGGGCCTACTAAACAACACTGACAACTGCAACCAAAAAATAAAAAAAATAGCTGGGCGTTGTGGTGGGCTCCTCTAGTCCTAGCTACTTGGGAGACTGAGGCAAGAGAATCACTTAAGCCCAAGAGTTTGAGATTGCTGTGAGCTGTGACGACATGGCACTCTACCGAGGGCGACGTAGTAAGACTCTGTCTCAAAAAAGAAAAGCCCAATAAGGCTGTCAAAAATACCTAAATGAGACTAGCAAGTAATAGTTACAACTTTATTCAGTAGGATATAGAATGAGTAGACGTGCTTGTTGAAAGTAGCAGAATTTTATTTTTATCTCCATTCAGCTGCCCTGCCATCATCCATCATCTGTGTCAGTTGTTTTCTAATAGTTTCTGCTTTCTTGTCTTATTATCTTTTTATTAAGCCTGTCTGGCAAAATGCCAGCCTTGGGTGGATTCAGTGGAGTGTTTCTGTTGAGGCTTATGAGCGTATTAGTATCGCATGTTGGCGATATCAGTGAAGAGTCTCTTAGTGCTGCCCACGGTCCTCCTTTTCCTGCTCTTTGCAGACACTGCCATCTCACCGGCTCACATTCAATGTACAGTTCTTCCTATTTTACATCACGTATGAACTCCCTTAACTTTTTACTACCAAACCTGCTAATGAATCTCCAACCCATTCTTTCTTTTCCGTCTTTGCTTTTGTTTCAGTGAAAAGTGTTCCTTTTCCTGTCTACAACTAATCATTTTTCTTTTGCCCTGAGTCCCAGTGGCTTCCACTTTCTCAGACACCACATGCTATTTGCTTATCTCCTTTCTCTTATGTATTTTTAGTATCTCCCTCTTTCCCAACAAATTTTAAACATTCTCAAGGTACTTCTGTTTTAATAAAGCTTTATTCTCTGCTTGCTTCCTTTTGTAGACTGATTGCTTAAAAATATTACCTTAAAAATGTATTTTTCCCCCTTCTTCTCAATAATAATAAAGGATTTGGTTTGTGGTACTGACGCTCACCACCTCTACTGAAATTTCTTACCTTGCTAAAGCCAAGTGAACACCTCTCAGTATTTCCCTTATGTGACAAGGTAATGTTTGGTTTTGTATCACACCTTCCTCAGTCCACTTCTTCCCTCCTGGCACACCCTCCTGGTTTCCTCCTGCTTTTCTGTTATTTTCTTTGTGTCCTTTTCCTCTGCCTGTCTGTTCAATATGATGTCTTTTAAGATCTATTCTTTTTGTCTGCTCGGTGAGCCCTCTGTCCCACGTCAAGTACTTTTATGAGTTGATGAATTGCAAGTCTTTCTCCAACCCAGATTTCTCTTGAAAGATAGTCTAGTATACAGTGTGTGTCTACTAGACAGATGTGGTTGGGTGTACCATAGGTACCTTCTACCCAATATTTATAAAGCTGGACTTACTGTCCTCTTCTCTCAACAACTAAAATTTGTTCCTTTTCTAATCACTTTGCCTGTATCATCACATACCCAGTTACCTAAACCTCAGGTGCATCCTTGAACTCCTTAGTTCCTCATCTCCCACATCCTGAGACAGTAGTCTCCCCTTTTCCACAGGGGCACCTTCCAAAGACACCCCCCCCACAGTAGATGGGATGTCTGAAACCACAGATAGCACTGAACCCTGTCTATTCGGGTCATTGCAAAAGTTTTGAGATACACACAAAAGTTAAGAAATGTAAAATCCGCTTAGACGCGAACAAGTGAAGCCCTTCCAGCAGCACCGATAAGCTGAGCAAGCTGAGATGTACATGGGTGATACAGAAGGGATGCTGTTGACTGTTTCTTGGAAATGAAATAATGGACAGTCTGCCTCAGAACTTTTGTAGTGACCTATGTCTATTTTTCCTCTATGTGCATTCCTACAATAAAATTTAATTTACAAATTAGGCACAGAGGAGATTAAGAATAACTTAGAACAGAACTATATTGTAATAAAAGTGAAATGAATGTGGTTTACCTCGTCTCAGAGTATCACATTGTCCTGTACTCCCCTACTTTCCAATTGTGGTTGACTGGAGTCACTGAAATCTTAGAGAGCAAAGCCTGGAATAAGGGAGTACTGCTGTAGTTACCAAGTTCTATTAATTCTGCCATAGAAATCTTTCTTGAATTGATCTTCTCTACGTCCCTAGTCTTTTGATTACTGAAAGTCTTTCTGTGCTTATAAATACTAGAAGAAAATACTAAATAGTAGACACTAATGTGTCTATAGAATAAAATCTAGAAAGCAAGATCCTCTATTATTTATGGTGACTTTCAGGTGGTTAGAAAGATTGGCATGAAGAACAGAGAAATGACTTGCTATTACTTTCTACCTCTTACACAGGGAAATGTTTATTGTCTTTGAGAAATCTTATAAATGTTCATATATTGGGAATTGATCCTCATGCACCCTTTTCTTTAGCTTTGTTCTAGTAATTTGACTTCAGTAGGGTACCTTTTAAATACATTTGGTATCATAATTTTTATTTTTTTAGACTTGTTGTATTTTGATGGAAGATCAGTCATAGCATAGAAAAAAGTGATTACCAAAATTTAAAATGTTTGACATAATATTTCAAAGAAAAGCAAAAATACAAATAAATTATTTTTACTTACTGAATAAAAAGTACAACTTAAATGTTCTACATTGAAAAGAACCTGAGTAGAACAAGACTTAACCTACTGATGAAGTGAAAATCAGTATAACTCTTTGAAAGACAGTTTCAAAGAGGCCAGTAATTAGAATTTTGGAATTAAGTAAGAGTTTAAATAATGCTCAAAAGGCTAGCCATGTCATTGCCTTTATATAAGAAAATAAAAGTGACTTGGATATAATGATAAAGACTCAGAAGATAATCTGATGACAGTCCTTATAATAGTATGTCAGGGAGCCATTGCAATTATATTATGAATTAAATATCATGTATGTATTTAATGTTATGACATTATTTTTAGGTTATTAACTGTTCAACCTATGGTAATCACAGTGTGACAGTGGACATATTGTTTATTTTATTAATTTAATAGACAGGATTTTATTTAGCAAATAAATTTAATTTAAATCTTTTTAAAAGATTTAAAAATACTATATTTGATCATTTTTTCCCAAAGTAATTATAGTATACAGTTTTTCATTTGCTTTAGAAACTTATATTAATAATGTTCGAAGTCATTGGATTAGAAATTGATCTTCAAAATAAGTTCTGTGTTTTAGAGGAAATTTATCATAAAAATATAATGTAAGTCATTTACTCTCCAACTGTGTTCTTAATGAATTTATCTTAAAATAAGGTGACTTTATAATTTGATAGAAAGTATAACTTGTTCTCTTTTAACATAAAAATGGTATGTAAGGTTTTTTGCTTACATATCAAATTTTCCTTCTAATTAACATTTTAAAACAATGTTTTAACTATAAATATGGTATCACTATTGAATGTCTTTTTTTTACTTCTTTAATATTTAATACACGTCATTATATCTAGTGAACAGTGATTGTGAAATGTTTCATTTAAATGAGTTATTTCATTTCATTGGGTATTTTAAGTTTTAAAATTACTTTATTATTATTAAAATTATTTCTAATGTAAAAAGTAGTGTATACTTGCTAGGAACACATGAGATGGAGAAAAAAGGAATATTCATGACATTCCTACTCTGTAACCAATAATTACTTTCATGAAAATATTTGGGTATATTTTCTTCATTTTTTATTTTAAAAAACTATATACAATTTCCATATTGTGCTTTTTTTGGTCTGTTGTATGACTTTCCCATGTTATAAGGACAAAGTCTAGCCTTCATAATGAAGTGCTTTGAAGAGTACTTAGTGTTCTAGCTGGTGGGCAGAGGACGGTTTGCCTATAGCATTCAACTTGTCATTTGACATTTTTTTTTCCAGTTTATCACAACTATAGCGTAATAAACAACTTCATTATAGTTTTTGCCCCCTTGTTTAAGGTTTTTTCTTAAATTAGATATGAAGAAAGAGAATTACTCAGTCAAAAACTCAGTTTTAGTTCTTCTAGTATTGTCAAAATGCTTTCCAGAAAAGTTCTGTGAGTTTGCATTCTCACCACAGTGTCTGAGAGTCTGGTTTCCCTTTACTGATGTGAGGATTAGGTAATATGAAATTTATGTGAAATTTAGCAAATTTAATACTACCTTATTTTTGCATCTAAACTTTATATATTATTATTTTATGTTTAGTAGTTTGTTTTCTTTGAAAATTACCTGTTTGAGCTTAATTTTGCCTATTTTTTAAACATTCTTTATGCCTTATGCCTGTATAATCAGGGTATTAACCGTATACTGTGTATTGCTTCCAGATCTTCCTCCCAGGTTGTCATTTACTGTTTATTTACTTTTATGTGAGCGAAATCTGTTGAACTTTTTATGTTCTAAATTTAGTAAGATCTGTTTGTTAAGCCCATTCTATTTTCTTGTTTGTCTTTTTTAACGCTCATTTTTTTGACTTAAAAATCTTATCTGTTTTTAATTTACTTAATATTTTGGTGTTATAAGGTAGCCTTTCTCAGTTGTGAGAGAATTAAGTTTTAATGCTAATGCATTGTTTGTTTACTGTGAATTAACTTCTATGTGTCTGAGATGGTGCTGGACATATACCATTTCTGGGAGAATTGAGTAAATAGTGGCTTATTGTTTCTCTTTGATTTATATGAGTTAAGGAAAAACTGTTAAAGTTTTAAATAAATCTTTTTTGATATCAGTAGTAAATCATCCCATCAGTTGAACTCTCCTACATCATGAAATTGTGAGAATTAAATTATATAATGGACATAGACTATTTAGTGTAGTGCTCAGATGGTAAGCAAAAGAAATGTTAGCTCTGGTTAATTTTTAAATATTCTGTGATTAATTTTTCTTTTTGAGACAGAGTCTCACTGTCTTGTCGTTGGTAGAGTGTTGTGCTGTCACAGCTCACAGCAATGTCAAACTCCTGGGCTTAAGCGATTCTTTTGCCTTAGCCTCCCAGTAGCTGGGACTACAGGCTCCTGCCACAAGGTCCGGCTATTTTTTTCGTTGTAGTTGTCATTGTTGTTTCAGCTGTCCAGGGCTGAGTTCTAACCCACCAGCCTTGGTGTATGTGGCTGACATCATAACCACTGTGCTATAGGTGCCAAGCCTGTGTGATTAATTTTTCAATATTCCAGCCCTGTAATTTTTTTTCTTGGGCTGGTACTAATTTAACCATTTAGACAGTATGGTTAAAACTTGACTAATTTTTCTACCCTTCCGACATTTTTGATGTTATTCTTGGTTTTATCTTTAAGATGTTAAATTTTTGTTCTGGCTTATTCTTCCAGATGAATTTTAGAATCATTTTGCCAATTACCAAGAATAATCACACCTAAGGTTCTCTAGTGAACGGGAAGAGTTAGGATCTTAAAATCAAAGCAACTATTTGTAGTCTTTGCCATTTTTAGCTGAATGACCTTGGCAAAAATATCTCTTTTGAATGTTAATATTTTTATTTATAGTTTAATGGCTTTCTCTGCCCCTGGAATTTTGGATAAAATGATCTCAACCTCTCCTCATTCACCTAATCCCTTTCAACCTGACAATTCCACAGCAGGTGAAAATCCAAAGTCTTACAAGTTATGTAGAAATCTTATTTTCTCATGACCATCTCTGTTCTGCTTCCACCCTTGGCTGCTACGGTTTTATGTCTCTTTTGACCCTGGTATGCATTTCATCCCTTTTCTTGATTTTCACAAAAATCCCACTTATTTTTTGAGGGGGAGGATTTGAGTTGGGGAGTCTTTACTGAGATTTAGGGAAAGATATGAGGGTGATAGTAATGGTTATTAAAGTAGAGTAATAAGCATCACTATTCTTTTATTTTTAGAGATAGGTAATTGGCCACCCTTGGTAGAGTGCTATAGCGTCACAGCTCACAGCAACCTCTAGCTCTTGGGCTTAGGTGATTCTCTTGCCTCAGCCTCCCAAAATAGCTGGGACTACAGGTGCCCACCACAACGCCTGGCTATTTTGTGTTGCAGTTTGGCCGAGGTGGAGTTCAAACCCTCCACTCTTTGGTATATGGGGCCGGCTCCCTACTTGAACCTGTGAGCTCAGGGAATCTACCTGCCTCAGCCTCCTAAGTGCTGGGATTACAGGTGTGACCACCGTGCCCAGCTGTGATGTAGTTTTTAGTGCCTCTTTGTAGTTATAAAATTAGCACTTCAGAGATTCCTTTCTATTTCTAAATGTCATGGAATTATTTAAAAATGAAAATTTTTTTTGTGTTTAAAAGCATAGTTTTTACTTTTTTGACAGAGACTTAATTGTTAAAGCCAGCATGGCCACAGGAGGAGGTCCTTTTGAAGATGGCATGAATGATCAAGATTTACCAAATTGGAGCAATGAAAGTGTTGATGACCGACTCAACAATATGGTATGATGTTTTGCTGTTGATGGTGTATTGTTATTGACTGATAATTAAAATGCAACTTTCCTCTGACCAAAAGTAACTCACTAAAGGTCTTTGTAAAGAGCCTGGGCTAGCTATATATATATTAGTTGAAGACACTTTAGACACTTTGCTTGCATGAAACGGAAATCAACTTGAGCTAGCTAAACCAAAAAGCAAATTTATTATAGGGATATAAAGGTGTTTTATGGAAACCACATTAAAGGAATACAACTGGGTTTTAGGAAATTGTAGAGCCAGTGGTTGAAGCCAAGGAGGTTTGCATTGGATTCGAACAGACCAAAGAAAACCTGGGGACATCTGGCTTCATTCAACTTAGGAAGCTTTTTCCATAAAACGTCCAGCATTGGCCTATCTTGGGACTCCACACAAGTGGAAAGCCTTATGGCCTGATATAGCAGCCAGAACAACAGTGGCTCCAAATCAGGTACTCAAAAGAACGAAATTATACAAAGTGTCCGTAAAGTTCATGTGCAATTTAAAATAGACAACTCAATTGCACATGAACTTTAGGATTGCTTAATCACAATTACTTAACATAATATGGCATCTGCTGGCTTAATCGTGGTTACTCAAAATAATCTGGTACCTGCTGGTTCTTCAGGCAAGAAAAGTCTAAATAACTTATCTTCCCTTCCCTCAGAAGGGATTGGAGAAAGAAACAAGAAAGTTGTCCAGAATTACGTTATCACTACCCTAACTCTGCTTCTGAGTGCCTCTGCTTAACACAACTTCTTTTCACAGACCAACTTTCTCTTCTCCTTTGTTCCATGTGATGTACTGTGGCTGCAATTATATACTGACTAGTTCCAATTTGAAATTTTAAAGGATGATTATCCCAATTTGGTTTGGAATAAGCATTTTTTTCCCCAATCATCTATGGCCAGAATAGGGAGGATTAAATAGTGCAGAAGGTTGGCGGGAACCACATACCCATGGTTTGTGTGGAGAAACAGTTTGTAGAGAAGGGAGTTTTGTTATAAATGAGGAAAATATGCTAGGTGGTTTTACTACAGTAGTAACTAAAAGATTCTTTCAATATAAATAAAGTGGGAATTATAGAACTTCTCATTGAATTAGATTGCAAGCATATAACTAAGTAAATAAAAATGTTTTCCAGTGAAAACAATAAGCACCTTTTGTCGTTCCATATCGGATAATAGCATGTAGTACATTTTTGCCTATAAATAATAATAGTATATTTAACGTTTATTACATGCTAGGCACTATACTAGATGTTTTATGTATGTTTTAGTTGTATTTTAGAGGTGGCACTATTTTAGAGATTAGAAAACTGAGACTATGGGAAGTTAAATTGTCTAGGCTAACACAATGGCGTGTTTCTTCAGAAAACGGTAATTACTTTAGAACCCAAATTGATTCCAGATCTGTTTCCTTCTTACTATACATAACTGACTTAAATCTAAAGGAGGCCAGTAAAGTTACCTATAATTTATTTCACTATTCAATTTGTAGATAGGAAAGAATAATTTTTAAATATGCTTTTGGAAATACTCAGATTGACTCCAGGGTTGGGATTTAGGGATTTGTATTTGTTAGTGATCTATGATAGGAAAGTAATCTATTTTGGAAAGGTAGGCTATAAAATTAGGATAAATGAGGGGAAAAGGGTTAATGGAAGTCAATAATTATCTCTAAGAATTTATACTTAACATAAAAAATGTTTTGTCATTTTTAATTTTAAGATTGACCAAAATTGTTAAAGCATACAATATTATTTTCCTGGCTTAACAGAAGCCATACTAACTTGTGCTTTTACTTTTTTTAAAGGATTGGAGTGGCCAGCAGAAGAAAGCAAATAGATCATCAGAAAAGAACAAGAAAAAGTTCGGTGTAGAAAGTGATAAGAGGGTAACTAATGATATTTCTCCGGAGTCATCGCCAGGAGTTGGAAGGAGAAGAACAAAGACTCCACATACATTTCCACACAGTAGATACATGACTCAGATGTCTGTCCCAGAGCAGGCTGAATTAGAGAAACTTAAACAGCGGATAAACTTCAGTGATTTAGATCAGGTTTGTGAATTATTGTAAAAGTCATGCTATGACTATTGGAAATACTTGAAGTGGATTAGATAATTTGTTTTAGGAATAAAAATTGAGCTATTTATTATTTCTTTTAGTTTCTGTGCATATGGAAAGAAATTTAATCAATGATGATGATACTATGTCCTTTGGAGGAAAATGAAGTCTTATTTCTATACCTGCTAAAGACAAGTATTTCTGGATTTTATTACTATGTTATATGACCAACTTAAGTGACTTCATTATGAAACTAAGTTTTACATGTTAGTAGCTTAACGAAGTTGCTATTAAGTAAATGGAAAGGTCGACTTTATTATATTTATAATTGGCTAAGTGTGGGATGTGCTTGATTACCTCATATTTGTAATAAAATTGTCATGTTTATAATCACTGAAATAAAGTTTAAATCTAAAAGCAAGTAGGAATGATAAACTTTTTTTTTTTTTTTGAGACAGAGCCTCAAGCTGTCCCTGTGGGCAGCGTGCTGTGGCATCATGGCTCACAGCAACCTCCAACCTGGGCTGAAGCGAGTCTCCTGCCTCCACTTCCCAAATAGCTGGGACCACAGGCGCCCACCACAATGCCTAGCTATTTTTTGGTTGCAGCCATCATTGTTTGGCAGGCTCGGGCTGGATTCAAACCTGCCACCTTAGGTGTATGTGGCTGGCGCCTTAGCCACCTGAGCCACAGGCGCCAAGCCAGGAATGATAAACTCTTGACAAATATTTTACTGCACATTGGTACTTTTCAGAGATACACAGGTTTCCAAATACATACAAAGGTAGATTCCAGTCTGATATGACAATCATATCATCTGCATCTGTTTACTAATTACTGAACACTCTATTATATGCCAGGCACTGAATTGAGTGATTTAGACAGTGCTTCATATAGACACATCTTTATGCTGATATTCATATGAATTAACATTGATGCATTGGGTCCAAAGTCTAAAAATTCTCTAAGCAAGTAACAGATAGCAATATGAGTTGTGAAAGTGGTCCATAGTCCTAGTACAGGTTGAGTGTCCCTAATTTGAAAATCAGAAATCTGAATTGCTTCAAAATATAAAATTTTTTAGGGGTGGTGCCTATGGCTAGTGGGTAGGGTGCTGGCCCCATGTATTGAGGGTGGCAGGTTTGAGCTCAGCCCCAGCCAAACTGCAACAACAACAACAACAAAAATAATTTTTTTGAGTGCCAGCATGATGCCATAAGTGGAAAATTTCTTACCTGACCTTATGCGATAGGTTGCAGTAAAAATGCAGTCAAATTTTTATTTCATGCACAAAATTATATAAAATGCTATATAAAATTATGTTCAGGCTATATGTATAAGGTGTATGTGAAATACAAATGAATTACATTTTTAGACTTGGTCCCACCTCATTGTGTATATGCAAATATTCCAAAACCTAAAAAAAAATTGAAATCTATTACACTTCTGGTCCCAGGCATTTCTGATAAGGATACTCAGTCTGCACTTGATTTAGACCCACCTTGTTTGTATTTATCAGTTGAATTGTCTCAGCAAAATGAGGACTAAGAGATGCTAATCAAATTTTGATTTTTTTTTAATTTTTGGATTAAAGTTAAGTATACAAATATCCATTGTATACCATTAACAATTGGAGAATTAAAGTTAACATGACAACACAAAATATGAAATACGTAGAAATAATTCTTCAGAAATATATAGAATTTCTACATGGAAGACTTTATTACTGAAAATATAGAAAGATACATGTTTGTATTGATATTTTAATTAAAGAATTTTATAGCTCCAAAGCTCAAATGTTGCTACGGAACTGTTTTTAGGTACCTCTTGAATCCCTAGCTGTTGATGAAACTAAGAGCATTAGAATTTTTTAAAACATTTATTGAAAGATTAATGTTGATGTGATTTGATTTCTTTTCCATCTATAGAGAAGCATTGGAAGTGATTCTCAAGGTAGAGCAACAGCTGCTAACAACAAACGTCAGCTTAGTGAAAATCGAAAGCCCTTCAACTTTTTGCCTATGCAGATAAATACAAACAAGAGCAAAGATGCAACCACAGGCCCTCAAAAAAGAGAGACGATTGGATCAGCACAATGTAAAGAGTTGTTTGCTTCTGCTTTAAGTAATGACCTTTTGCAGAACTGTCAAGTCTCTGAAGAAGATGGGAGAGGAGAACCTGCAATGGAGAGCAGTCAGGTGATAAAACTTTTTTTCTTTTCGCTTATTGTTTTTACAGACCTCAGAGTATAGCCATTAAGATTTTAAAAATTACATTAGCTTATACATATAGGAGTTTTAGTTAGGTGGAATTAAAGTATTTCCCTGACCCCCCTCCTTTTCAATCTACCAGATTTATTTAAAATAGAACAAATTTTTTTTTTATCCAAAGTGGTTATAGAAATGGCATACTCAGGCTAATTAAGTCTTCTGTTTATTTGCCAAAAAAACAAATATTGCCTCTTTATAGTATTGCCTATTTATAGTAAAGGCAGATTGGGAACAAAGTGATTAATGGATTTTTTGGTAAGAATTTTTTTTAATGGTTATATAATTCTTAAAAGTACTTTCAAAAGTATTTATAAGTACGTATAAAGATAACAAACAGAAATTTGTAGAAAGAATAGTTTGGTGTATAGGTACAGGTAATATAGATTAAGGTATTTTTTTGAAATTTATTTTTAAATTGACAGTGATTGAAGTTTTTAGTTTATCAGTTACATTTTGATTAAAATCTAAGTTTGATTCAGACTTTTTGAATATATGAATTCACACAATAAACCTTAGAAATTTTTTGGTTATTATCTTTGAAATAAAAATTTATAAATTTTTTGCTGTTTAATTATGCTGAGTTTTACATATTGTGCATTTTCATGCTTTTTGGTCTTTTTAATATTTCCTCTCCAGATTGTAAGCAGGCTTGTTCAAATTCGTGATTATATTACTAAAGCTAGTTCTATGCGGGAAGATCTTGTAGAGAAAAATGAAAGATCTGCTAATGTTGAACGCCTTACTCATCTAATAGATCATCTTAAAGAACAAGAAAAGTCATACATGAAATTTCTCCAAAAAATCCTAGTAAGTTTTAGACCTTGTTAATAATGTGTTGAATTATTTTTGTGGTTTGTCAGTGTATATATACTGATAACATTCTGATGCTACCCCAGAGGAGTTAACATGTTTTCAAAAAATCGTACCATCCATTATAACATTTTATTGCCCTTTTTAATAGTTGTATGATTTATACCACTAAAATATTTCAGGCTAGAGAAAATGAGGAGGAGGATGTTCGGACTATAGATTCAGCTGTGGGATCTGGTTCTGTAGCTGAGAGCACATCGCTAAACATAGATGTGCAGTCTGAGGCTTCAGGTACCACGGTAAGCAGCTTTTTGGTAATTAAAGTGCTGGAACTGAAGATTAAAACTTTCCCTCCAGTTTTCAAGTTTGTATTTTTGAGGTGTTTCTTAATGAAAAATGTATTCCAGGGAAGAAACCATACTGTTAATGCTGTATGTATTCTTCTGTGTTTAATCATAGACATTTACAAGTTTTATATATTAACAGTAAAATAATTTTAATGGTTGATTGGAAAATCTAGTGATTTTTGATTGTCAGCTTACAGAAATATTGTTGGTCCAGTTTGTTTTGCTAAGTACAACTTCACTAATTTTAAGAAGCATGGGGAAGTTGTTAGTAGCATTCATTGTGAATATAATGGCTGTGGTGATTACTTAGCACATAGTCTGTTAGTTAGAAAGTCTCCATTTGCTGCTGAGGGCTCTTTAAGGGTATTACGGTCTCGCATTTCTCAGGCTGTAATCTAGTACTACAGCAAAATGGGACAGGATAGCATTTACATTGTGACTTACAATGAGAAAAATGATACAATTTCTGACTTGAAAATCAAATGGTTTTTTTGAAAAATAATTAGGAATTTTCAGAACTCAGAGGAAAGATATATAAAGTGAACTTAGTTCTTAGTGTGCTTTTAAATATCTCCAATAGATAGATCTATACCATGCATTTGTAAACCTTAAAACCTATAGTAGACTAATAAAACTTTTCTTTTATAAGGTTAACCTTGTATATCTTTTACTTTTGTTGTGTGTTCCAAAGTACCATTTAGTGTCAGGAATTTGAGGGTTTGTTACCTTTCAGTTTTGACCTGTGTAGTTTCTTTTCTGCTTCCTTTCTCTTCTTTCTACCCTTCCTAATTTGAAAAGGAAATTTGAATTTTTTTCTCTACATTATTTTCACCAGGAGATACTCTCAGAGGGTCTGTCCAAACAGTTGTTAAAGAGTGGATTCTATTGTGGGGAAATTATTTTTCTATTTTCAGTGGTTCTGGGAGTAATTTCTTCCTTATATCCCAGCAGAAATGGAATGTTTGGGACATGTGGATAAAGACATTCTCTTGTGGAGGGGTGAGAAATTGTGCAGTTGATTATTACAATTTATATACTAGTATTGAAAGCATTTACCATGATGAGAATTTCTCTCATAATAACATAAAATCATGACATTATGAAAGTTGATTATTAACATGTTACAGGGGTATTCAACCTGTTGCTCAGGGGCTTCGTACAGATTGAGACCCATTTTGCTCATCTGTGGTCTTGGATATTGTGAAAATTATGCATGGACTTTTTTTTTTTTTTGCTCATCAGCTTTTGTTAGTGTTTGTGTGTTTAATGTGTAGCCCAAGACAACTCTTCTTCGAATGTGTGGCAGAAAAATAAAAGGTTAGAACACCCTTGATGGCAGCATAAATGTTAAAATATGTTTTAGCAGTTACAGCTTGGAAATTGCATAGGGTATGATATTTGCTTAATTACACTATGCAACAGTCTAGTCTAATTAAAACTAGTCTAGAAAGTTGAAAGTCTAATTAAGTTAAACTTCATGGGATTGGGTGGTGGTGGATTGAATTTTTTTTTTTTTAAATGGACTGGTAAATTTTGTATATAAGGCTGGCTTATATGTTAAACTGGAGTTTGTGTTAAGAAATTAATATGCTACTATTTAATAAAGGAGGCATCTTTTAGTCTGAGAATTCGGCCGTGCATTGAGGACAAACTAGGGAATTCACCTTCACAAGAACAGGTTTCAGACATTGATGTTACTACAAGTCCAAAAGGGAAAGGTGACAGCCCTCCTCAGAATGACAGGGAACTGAGGCCTGATAGGAAATATACCCCAAAACATGGATTTCCCTCAAAGGTATACTTCATAATATTAACTTGGGAAGTCTCTAAATGAGCACCTCTTGTTCATATTTCCTCCTTATTTACGTTTCTGTTACTGCTCTTACTCTTATATGTATAAATTATTAATATGGTTAATTATTACACTGTTGCTTTACTAAAATGCTGCCCTCAGTGTTCTTTCTGCTTCTGTATCATCATGGATTGTATCTGACACTTGTTTTTAATTTTATATTAACAAAGGTTTTAACTCCAGTGGAGTTTTATTAGTATTTTATTCATAAAGTGATTTTAATTTCTTACCAAAAAATCTTAATTTTCATAACTGACTTTGTTTTTCTCAGCTATGCAGGATCTATTGTTCTTACCACCCCACCCTCATTACCTTCTTTGTGTTCTTTCAAAATGTAATATGCTGTTAGAGTAGTAGGAAAAAAGTTGATATCTTACATGAGATTCAGAGCTGAAGAAAGCAACCTATGAGTGATGCTTGGTATGAAATGATTGATGTTCTAGAGCTACCTCCAAGGGAAGATTCCACTTTATGGAATATTTTATAGACGTGACAATATTTTGCAGAATTTTATGAAAGGATAAGTATCCATGCATTGTTTTCCCATACTAAAATTGCACCTGCTCCATTTCAGCTCTTAGAGAACTTAAAAGTTTTTATTATACTATGTACTTTTGTTTTGATGTTATTTTCACCATTTCTAGTTTCTTCATACGAGCTAGGCTTGTCACCTAAACCAGCTATGCTTCTTCAGAAATTGTCTTACACCTCTGTTTAGAACCCAAGTACATAATTTTGGGACCGACAGTATGATGTCAAGAAACTAGTTGGGAATCTTAACTTCTCCTAACGGTGACATTGGAGAAGTCACAGCTTTATCTTTGGGTTTCTAGTTGCTTACCTTTCACTTAAAAAATTGGAGTACACAATTATCAAAATCTATAAAAATGTATTAATGTTTGTATCCAGAATAATTAGGGGAACTTGAGAAAAGGAAGAGTTAGAGTGTTCTGAAATTGGACTTTTTATATATGCAATTCAAGGTTTCATATCTAATTTCTTTTTCTTATAATCTGTAAACTAAAAATGTTGGTAAAGGTGACTCAAGACAAGTTTAAATAAAAATAGGTGTTTGAAGGATGGATAATATTCCTACTGTTCTTTTTGGATTTCTAGTCCCAAGTACCATCATCTTGGTATGTTCTTATTCTTATATATTACAAATAATAACATTTTATTTATTTATTTTTTTTGGAGACAGAGCCTCAAGCTATTCCCCTGGGTAGAGTACTATGGCATCACAGCTCACAGCAACCTCCAACTCCTGGGCTCAAGAGAGTCTTCTGCCTCTGTCTCCCAAATAGCTGGGACTACAGGCCCTTGCCACGACACCCGGCTATTTTTTGATTGCAGCCGTCATCGTTGTTTGGCAGGCCCGGCTGGATTTGAACCCACCACCTTAGGTGTATGTGGCTGGTGCCTTAGCCACTTGAGCCACAGGTGCTGAGCCATAACATTTTATCTTGTTCTTTATATTAAATCATAGTCCCTATCCCCCTCCATTGACTCAGCTTTTCTATCAGTCTGAAATATTATTTATATAGTTGCTGAAGTTACTAAGCAGTAATATTGCACTAATTTTGAAGATTGCTTGGAATTCATTTTTGGCTTAGTGAAAAATCTAAAGATAATTGTGTTTACTTTAATAAATAACTTAGAAATTTTATAATTAGGGTTATCACAGTTTTACAGTTAAATGTGACTAATAAAGATTAAGGAAGTTTTTTAGAAGTTTGTTTTTAAAAAGTAAAACTCTATACTATAATAAAAATTAGAGTGTTTTAAGGTAACCCCAAATATAAACTATTTTAGTTAGGTGAGACTATAAATTAGATGGAAATATACATTCTTCAGGGTTTTTCTCCACCAAGATGACTTTTCTCCTTATTTGCAAATTATTTTTGCTCCTATTTACATTTATACTTTGCTAGAGAAGTATTTGATTGATACCAACTTTGGAGAGATTTTTCGGTATCATTCCATCGATATCTGTACCTGATTGGTTTGGTTTTATGTTTTACCAGTACTTTAATGAAATTAGTATGAAAGCTTTTTGGATGAATTCTGAGAGGATTAGCTATTGATAGTTATCCCTACCCTTTCAATTTTTTCCTAAGATGTAAGCAGTCTTGAAATAAGCCAGAACTAAGAAGATGAATTTTGGCAGGAATGAATGTAAATCTTAACAAGGTAATTCCACTGGTTTAGGATGGGAGAGAACTGAGTGAACAGTAGTAGATTTGAAAAGAGCTTTTATTTATTAGGAATTGAAGGAGACAGAAGAACTTCCAGTAAATTTTGGCTTAACCAAGATCTAAGTAGGCATTTCTCTCCCATGTTCATGAAGTCTAGGGATAGTTGAGGATAGAATATAGTGGCGCAAAGGAGAAGGGCACCAGCCCCATATGCCAGAGGTGGCGGGTTCAAACCTGGCCCCGGCCAGAAACTGCAAACAAACAAAAAAGGAATGTAGTCATATTAATCTTATGTATACATCACATAGTTTAATCATAGTCCATTGATCTTAACTTTTTTGAGTATTTTGTGCCATGTACTTATTCACTAATAATTTTATTTATTTCCAAGTCACAGTATAAAACGTTAGCACAGTCAAACTCATGCTTATTCATAATATTGATGAGTTCTACTTGCAGAGGTACAGATAAGAGATTTTTGTATGGTATTGGTAAGGGATGTCACCCAAAGGGAATTTCCCTTAGCTATCTGTATTATCTATAATTTCTCCAGGAATCAAATCTGCGGAGGGAATACAGATTAGTGCAGTTTTACTTGGAAAGAAATTCTTGAACTTGGCTCTCCTTAGTAACATGGGCAGGGAGAGATAGGCAGGAATCATTTATTTAAAATGTATACAACTCCAACAAAAATTTGTTAGCAATGCACATTTGAAATTGACTAAGTGCAACAAAGGTGAGGTGCTTTATATAAAGTACTTCACTTTTCAAATAAAAGATTTTTTAAAGGTAAATCAATGGTGAAATACCATTGTGGTATACATTTTGTACATAATTGTTTCCAGGTAGTATTTGAATTTGTCTCTTTGATTTAGTTTTTTTTTTCTTGTTAGGTTACATTTTGAATAGTTTTAAGAATACATTTAAAATTTTATTATTTCTTACAATTGGCACCTATTTAATCTGTGCTACATTTAGCCAAAATGATACCCTCTCAGTATTTTGGGGGAATTTGAAAATATTTATCTTTTTTATGTTGCTAGACTCAGCTAATGGGCATAATTTAAAAATAAGTAAGGATGCCTTTAAATAACAGATTATAAAAGTTGAAGTTTTGTTAATGTGCCTGGTAATATGATGCAGTTAATTTAAAACATTGTAATTATATAAGATTATGAAATAAAAGATGTATTTTTAAATGTTCTGGTTTTTATAATAAATTAGTGGGTTTCTTGTTTTCTGGGTTTTGCTGTTGGTTTTTTTGTTTGTTTATTTTATTTATTTTTAGCTGCCCAGTGACAAGGAAAAGTTGATGTTTTTAAACATCATTTCTAGGAGTGGGACATAACATTTCTCAGTCTGTTGTTCAAGAGACTTTTAGGATATCAACCCTGTATAATGTGCTCTCCTACTTTTTCTGTAGGGCCTGGATCCGTCATTCTAGTGTGTGTGGGGGGGTATAACTCTTTTTGCCCTCTTGGCCTTCCTGTCTTTTGCTTGTATGCATTTTTTCCTATTCTTTTGTGTTAATTCCTCTTCATGCTAAGCCACTCCTTAAAGTCTTACACTGTGAAGTTACCTAACTCTTAACATGGCAGTTTATCTTTGTGTCATCATTCTGTTCTCTTTTTTTCTTCAGATCTGTTAAGACTATATCAAGGGTTGTATATTTAATAATAATTTATCATGTATGTGTGTACTTTGCCATTGATAGTTGAAACAGCAACTTGGAGTTTAATATTCAGATGTGAGTGTTGTTGGTCTTATTTTCTAGGCCAGAGATCCTCAGCAAGAGCCTATGGAAGAGATAGAAAATTTGAAGAAACAGCATGATTTATTAAAAAGGATGTTGCAGCAGCAGGAGCAGCTGAGAGCTCTGCAGGGACGACAAGCTGCTCTTTTAGCTTTGCAGCATAAAGCGGAGCAAGCTATTGCTGTGATGGATGATTCTGGTATGCCACAGTCTTAGTGTTGTTTTTATAAGCAGGCTCAATGAATCATTGTATTGCAAGGTGGATGCTGATCATTACATGATCAGATCTTGATTGTTGACTAGTTTAGAAACCTGCATGTGGGCTCGGCGCCTATAGCTCAACCGGCTAAGGC